GGGTGGCTTAAACAACAGAAATTTGCTCTCATACAGTTCTGGAGCTAGAAGTCTAAGATTAAGGAATTGACAGGTTTGATTTTTTTCTGAGGCTTCTCTCCTTGGCTTGCAGATGGCAGCCTTCTCGCTGTGCCCTCACACGGCCTTTCCTCTGTGAGAGCACATCCCTGGTGTCTCTTCGTGTGGCCAGTTTTTTTCTTCCTATAAGTACACCAGTCAGATGGGACTAGGGCCCACCCTAATGGCCTTATTTTAACCTAATCACCTCTTTGAAGGCCCAGCCCTATCTTCAAATCCAGTCACTTCCTGAGGTACAGGGGGTTAGGACTTCAACATATGAATTTTGAAGGGACACAATTCAGCCATAACATGGATTCTGATCAGTTGGTAAATGTGGAGCTGTTTTTATTACTATGATGGACTTAATTATTTTTAATCTTTAAATTACTCTAGTTTCTTCCTGAATGTGATTTGGTAGTATACGCATCTTCTGTTTCAAAAGACACAAGAGACAAAAGAGCAAAAGTTATAGCCATTCATACCATTTTCGGACATCTTTGAAATTATTTATTTTTAAGTTGCTGAAATTTGTAAAAAAAATTCATAATAACAGCTTTCATATTATGGATGAAACCTGTGGAGACATTTAAATACATAAATGATGAACTGGCTTTTCACTAGGAAAGGGTAAATGTTGTAGAAGCTTAGCCATAGTGTTGTGAACTTTATAGGCCTGAAGCTGTATGAACTGTACATATGAGGAAACGAACCATGTAATATAGTATATGAAGGAACTGATCCTTTGCTATTTTTTTAAAAAAATCATTCACTTTAATTGCTGACTCTTCATTTGAATCTATTGTAGACTAATAACCTTGTTTCCTAGTCATTTGGAATTTTATTGCTAAAAGTCCTTATGTAGGTTTATAATTAATAGTTTCACTCAAAGACTGATACTAGGAAGAAAAGATTTGTAATAGTCTTTTGATAGATTCCTTTTCTCTAATGATACAGAATTTTGTTA